CACAACCTATTCCTAATTCCTTCCTTTCGTTCTTCTTCGATTTCAAACTTTCCTTCCTTCAGTCTTTTCCTGCTTCCTGTCCGTCTAGTTTCCTGCAGCAGTGGAAATAAAGCTCCTCCTCTTCCTCTCCGTGAGTACTTTTCACTGCTGACACTTCACTTCCATCACTCACCTGTAACTCTCCTCCCGCCTGTTTATCCGAAGAAAAAAACACAACAGCTTCAACGTTCCCTCCTCCTCCTCTATCCCTCTCTCCTTCCTCCTGTTTCCCTCTCGGAGGAGAACTCGACTCCTCGGCGGCTGTAATCACTTTACTACTGTTTTTGTTCGCGGTAAGTGGACTAAATATTTGGATGCTCATAAGCAAAGCAGAATAATTGAACGTGTGATTTGTGGCAGCTGGCTCCGAGTCTATGGGCTTGTCTCGGCATAATGAAAACAGCTAGCGAGCCGCCGTAAACAAAAGCAACTTGTTATGTTGCAAACCCCTCGCTGTGCTTTGCTGTGTGTGGGAAACAACTAATTTTCTTGATGGCGTACTGTAATCATGGCGAAGCTTTACCACGCGCTGTGCTGAGTACTGCACTGCTTATTAATACAGAGAGAGAGAGTCAGTCCACTCCTCGCAGAGCTACTATTACTGTAAACACTTTAAAGAATAAAGAGGGAGAGAACAATGCACCAACCTGAATTATTATAATTATTAGTTGAGTCCAGAGCGGCGGACCAGGCCGGCAGGAGGACCTGAGCCTGTTTACAGCCGCCACTGGAGCCTCAAATCTGGACTCCGGGACCGAGAAGTCGGCCTGATGAGAGAGTACTCAGGCTTTTCTAAAATCACACGACAATAACAATTATAATAATAAAAATAATTACAGTAATAACAGAGCAGGTGAGAGAGACCTTCCCTACCGGGCTGGGAACCAGAGCGACTCCACAAGTCCAGAAAACATCAGAACTATAATAATCATCATCCACTAACAGTCGTATTAATATAAACACCCACATGTGACTGGAGGAAATCTTCTCAGGAAACAAAGCTGCTGGAAGGTCAAAGGTCAGTGGGCGACTTTAAAAAACATTTTTTGTAAAAGTTTGTTTGTGTCTGAGCCGAACGTCAACAAACTACTTTTATTCTCACTGGAACGAGCGTCTGTGATCGAGCTTTAATGACATTTTTTACAGTGTAAAAAGGTTCCAGCAGTAAATGTGATTATTGATCAGTGATCAGTGAAACTCGGTTAAAGAAGACAACACAACAGCAGTCAGCATTCGTCTCTCTGGTTCAGGGTCGGGGGACAGAGGGACACCGTAAACAATCCCACGACCCGATTCGGACCCCTGAGCCATATTTCTAGAGAGTCGGGCCCTCGGGGGACAGCGGCGGCGGCATCGGGGGCCAGTGATACCTGTTGGCCCCTCCCCTCTCTTCCTGATTGACAGATGGTCGCTCCATTAGATGAGAATGATAAGTGGCTCTCCGTCAGCAGAAAGGACTTCCTCTTGACCTCTGACCCCCGACCCCAACTCTTGACCCCCTCTCTCAGGGGTCGACCAACACCCTCCCTCTCTCTCTCCCTCTCTCCAGGCCTGTGTGATAGTCTCTCGGCCCTCCACAGGTGCAGGTCAGCAGTAAGTGATGTGGAGAGCAGCTTTTGTTCCTCTGAAGGAGGAATCTGTGAAGGATGAAGAGGATGAAGAGGTGAAGAGTCTGTTGTTCTTTAGAGAGGATGAGACACATAAAGACACAGATAACGAGAGAGAGAGAGAGAGAGGGAGGAAGAGGGGGAGAAAAAAAGGAAGTTTAGGCTTAAAAATGACGTTTGAAACCAGATTTTTCTCTTTTTGTTTTCACAAACTAAATAAACTGAGTACCTTTAACTCGACTCTCAGGTTCTTGTACTTGACTGAAGGCTCCTGCTGGAAACTAATTAAAATATAATCAGTAACATTTCTGCTTGTTTCCAGTTTAAACTCAGAGAAATCTGTAATTTTATTCAGGTAACGCTGCGTTTCATTGGTCGCCTGTCGATGGCGTCATATCCCCTTTGTGC